GTGTGTGTGGAGGGGAGGGAAAGAGAATTTACAAATATAAACATCACAAGCAAGTGGCAACCTTCATAGCAAATGTGACACAAAAAAACACACAAAGGGTTCTAAGAGAAGGCTGAGGACAGACTCTGCTTTGACAACCTCAGACAGAGAAAAAGAAAAGAGAGCAGAGAACACCAGGTGCTTTACGGATGAGGTCAGCCTGTAGCACAGAGCTGAGGGAGGCATTGCTACCCAGACTCCAGGCAGAACTCACTGAACCAGCACATGAGGGCAGCTATGATGGTGTTTGTCTGACAAAGCTAAACTGGTAACTCTGGGATGTAGGGTTGAAGATTTTACTTCTCCCAGACTACTGTAAGTGTGTGTGCACACTCATACATAAGGAGCAGCAAGCATTAGTCTGATCTGAAAGAGGGACACAGGGAATTCAGGGGAGCTACAACCCCAAGACTAAGAGCTTAATAAAATTTTATCAGTGTCTCGTTTGTGTGTCCCTTAGGCTCATGTTGTCGCTGAGTGTAGCCACCACTGATGGGCTCTGGCCTCACTAGTAAGGTGCCTTTAGGCACGACCGAACTCTGAACTCTATCTGAAAGCCAGTCCTAACTGCGACAACAGGTTTCTGTCAGGATGAACTGAAGAGATGCCTTGAAAGCAACGGGGTTGGACCTGGTGGCTCCTATCTATAATCCCAGCACTGGAGGAGGGAGGGGAGCAGGAGGATCAGGAGTTCAAGGACATCCTCTACAAAAAACTGGAGAACCTGAGGGACTGGGACAGGACAACACTGAGCTAGAAAACTGCCCAGCGTGGGTGAACACCCTCTTCACTGGCTAGTGCTACTTATAAGCCACCTGGTCTCATAGCTAGGTGCTTCCAAAGTTCCCAATGCTCTGATACCAACACTTAACTTAAAGATGTGTTAGAAAGATGAGTCCGTGGTTAAGAACACTGGTGGCTCTACTGGAGGACAGAGGTTCAATTCCCAGCACCCATATAGTAGCTAACAACCATCTGTAACCCAGTTCAAGGGGATACAATGCCTTCTTCTGACCTCTGCAGGAACCAGGTATGCACATAGTGCACTTATACACATGCAAGCAAAACACGCATAAAATCTTAAAAAAACCCAACTTACAAAGACTTTCTCCATGTTCTGCTACTGGACAGGCAATTTTCTGAGGAGAAAGACTTCTCTGTACACTGACATTGCTCTCTGCTACTCCCTCTTGTATGACAGTAACCAGCTAGGCTGCTGCCTGCCCATGCGTCCATCTCTCCTGAGAACAGCAGGTCAGGCTTCCACATTTTCAAAAGACGTTCTCTTAGGTCACCCCCTCATTATATTTCTTTGTTATATTCTGACTCAACTAAAAAATAAAATGGATTTACTTAAAAAAAATCTTACTGGAATAATCTGCTAAAACTCAATTTGTTCAAGGGTACACTGTTTCAGTGACTTAGGTTGCTTAGAAAAACAAGCTTTCATTTCGGAGTAATATTTCTAGTTGTTTTAATTTGTTGAAACATGAGAACAACATCAACAACAATCTCCTACTGTCTGTGATTTGGTCTGGGACTTCCATTCGTACCAGAGACTTTTTCTCTTAAAGCAAACCCCCATAGTCACACGTGGTTTACCTCCTCTACCGCTTTCCCTGGTCTTCTCTAAGAGCCCTCTTTCTAAATCTAGTAAGAAGCTGCTTACTCTGTTTTTGTGTAGTTAAGCTCTTCATTCTCCCAGTGTACCAGTGCCACTTCGTAGGGCTGGATCTCATGTCTCTCCAGAACCTGCATCACATGCTTCATCTAGGAGGAAAGGACATTTGTCTGACGTCACAGCCAACTCCCTCTGCACAAGTGGGCTCATGCTTAACATAGTTTGCTTAGTTAAAACAATATTTTTATTTTATGTATATGAGTGTTTTGCCTGCACATATGTATTTTGCCACATGCATGCAATACCTGTAGAGGTCAGAAGAGGGCATTGGATCCCTTGGAACTGGAGTTATGGACGGTTGTTAGCTGCCATATGGATGCTGGGAACTGAACCTGGGTCCTCTGCAAGAGCAACCAGTGCTCTTAATTGCTGAGCTACCTCTCCAGCCCCTACTGCTTAGTTTTTAAGGAGAAGACAAAGTATACATACATACACTGTGATAGTGAAATAATCTGAACAGCATGTTCATTTATTTTGACATTTGGAAAGTACAAATGAACATAAAAAACAAAGTTAAAATTACCATTATCCTCCAATCCATTGAAAATCAGTAGTAACATTAATGTTTGCATTTGTTAAACCTCTAAAAAAATGAATGGGTATACTACTTGTAAAACTGAAGCAGCAGGGGCTGGTGAGGTAGGTTGGTGGTCAGGACTCTTGGCTGCTTTTCTAGAGGACCCAGGTTTGGGTCTCAGCACCCACATGATGGCTAACAACTGTCTGCAACTCCAGTTCCAGGGGCTCCAACGTGCTCTTCTGGCCTCTGCAGCACTGCATATATTTGGTACACTTACATACACGTAAGCAAAACACTCATACACACAAAATTAAAGCAACATGCAGATGTATAAAGTGTTGTGTCCCCTACCCCCACCTGAAACCCTAATCCTCCAAGGCAGCTATGACTGAACTTAGTGCAAATCCTTCTACGTATGTTTCTTGCAGGCCTACATATGGACCTATCTGCATTCCACATATTTCCTGTGAGAATATGTGCACATTCATTTTGCTTTTCCTATGAAATTGGATTATACTACACATTTAAATGTTTTCATTGCTATTCTTCCTAAAGGAGGACGTGCAATTCATTGAAACACTCTAAATGTCCGTCCTTGAGGGAGGTTCTAGTGTCTACCATCTTAGTGCATCATCCTGAAGCACATCTCTTCATGGTTTTGGGGAATTATTAAAAAAGATTTGCTTTTACTTTATGTGTATGAGTGTTTGCATATATATATATATATATATATATATATATATATGCACCATGTGCCTGCAAAACTGGAGTTACAGACGGTTGTAGCCACTTTGTGGGTGCTGGGAACTGAACCCGTGTCCTCTGCAAGAGTAGCAAGTGCTCTTAACCTCGGGGCCACCTCTCCAGGGCTGGGGAATATTTCTTGAAGAACTGCTAATCAAAAGGATGTGAGCCGAGGATCTGCTCAGAGGTAGTGTGAACCTAGGATACTGGACGCTCAGGTGGTCACCACCACTACAAAAAAGGGAAAAGGGTTAGGGGAGGGGAGAAGGAGACGGGAAAGGAAGACAGTGTGCTGACTCCGAATTTTGATAAATACTGCAAAATTGCTCTCTAAAAGTTTCTCCAGTTTTAGAATCTAACGTTTACGACAGTGCTCATAAAAACACAGAGTATTACCAGCTTTTTATAGCTTTGTAACGTCAGTCCGTCAGTTTGTACTTCCTTACACTTAGTTTGTTTTCCCCAGGTTCCTTCCCCTATGATGTGTAAATCTGCTTCCTTTTACTAAAAATTAAATTGTATGAAAACGTGATAGGAAGATTTGTACCACATTTAACCATGGCTATTTCTGAAGGTTAGGATTTCAGATGAGCAGAGAGGGGGCATGACTGATTGCTCTGGTTTAAAAAAAATTTTTAAAGATTTATTTTACATGTATTAGTATTTCACCTGCACCTGTGTCACTGAGTGTCTGTGAAGGCCAGAGAGGGTGTCAGATCCCCTGGAACTGGAGTTATGGATGGTTGTTAGCAGTCATGTAAGTGATGGAAACCAAACCCAGGACCTGTGCAAGAGCAGTCAGTACTCTTAACCAGTAAGCCATTTCTCTAACCCCAACTTTTGTTTTTCTTTTGAGAAAGGGTCTCACTATGTAGCACTGGCTAACCTAGAACTTGCTATGTAGACTAGACTGACCTTGAACTCACAGAGAGCCACCTGCCTCTGCCTCCTGAGGACTAGGATTAAAGGCATGTGCGACCACACCCAACTTACTTACTTACTTTGTTTTTTTGGAGACAGGGTTTCATGAGGCCTGGACTGGTCTCAACTCACTAGCCCAGCCTTCTGTCTCCACTTCCCTTGTGCTGAGATTATAGGTAACGGGCCACCATGCCAGCTCTCCTTTTATGTTTTCTTAGACAGACTCTGTAGCCCAGGGGCTGGCCTCTATTTTACAGTCCTTCTGCCTCAGCCTCCTGAGTTCTGGGATTACAGGCATGTAATTTGTAGCTTGTAGCCTACTATTTCCTGAGCTCTAATATTAAATTGGTTATATTTGTAACCTATTTTTACTCTCATACACAAAAGCATTTTCCTAGAAATAGCTATTTTCCACACAATTTTAAGAACTATAGTATATTTTATACAATAGATTTTTTTTTTTTTGAGACAGGGTCTCCTTGTAGCCCCAGCTGGCCTTGAACTCTATATGTAGACCAGGCTGGCCTGGAACTCACAGAGTTCCACCTGCCTCTGCCTCCAAGTGCTAGGATCAAAGTTGTGCACCACCATGCCCAGCACACAATGGATATTTTTAATAAACTTTGTTATTTTGGTTATTATTTTTGCTAATCTCCATTACTGAAAACAATGCTTTCATGAATATTTCTATTTATAATTAGTTATGTGTAACTATGAATGCTTTGTATAGATTATCAAACTGCCTCTAAAATGGTTCTATTAAACAAGTCCAGATTTGGACACTGAAGAAATTATATTCTATGGGTAAGTTCTAGAAAATCTGATATAAGGGGCTGGAGAGATGGCTCAGTAGTTAAGAGCATTGGCTGCTCTTGCAGAGGACCAGGGTTTGGTTTGAACACCCACATGGCACCTAACAACTGTCTTTATCTCAAGTTCCAGAGGACCCGGTACCCTCTTCTGGTCTCTGCAAGCATTGCACATACATGGTACATGCACATACATGCAGGCAAAACACTCATACACATTAAAAACTCATATAAAATGGGAATCAATTTTACCAACTTCCCATAAGCTATGTATGCATCACTTGTTTTGTACACTATCGAATGCAAATATAGTTCTTCCTATAGTGATGCTAGAATAGTTTGGGTTCTTCACAATTAGTGTGTGCCCAGAGGACAGAAATTGTAGACAATTTAAATAATCTCAAATATAGGATGTTTTGGAAGATGAAAGTAATGGGACAAAAATCATGTGATGCAGAGCAAAGAGGTCATGGACTATCCACTGGCTTATCCCGGTACTTCGAACTACCCTCCATTAGTAATTAGTTCTTACAAAACTCAATCTTAATCTTTTACATTTACTTATACTTACGGTTTTGTCTTTTATGTTCCAAAACACAGCAGCTCCTTCCCTGATTTAAAAGAATATGAGAATCAAACCAAAGGTTGACAGTCCTCACAGTCGTACACAAACCCATGTTTACTCTCTTGAATATACCCAGAATGTAACTGAATAAATGATCTGGTTGATTAGTAAGATGGGCTTGCCTAGGTAGCTGGTAGTACAGACATGTGCCACCAATGGGTACGACTAGGTAGCTGGTAGTACAGGCATGTGCCACCAATGGGTACGACTTAAAAGTTTGGACACTGTCTCACTTTGCAGTTCAGGCTGGTTTCAGAGTCACATTCATCCTCCCACCTTGGCCTCCTGGGTGCTAGGATTACAGGTGTTGAGTCCCCGTATTGGGCTTCAAGCTTACATTTTTCTGGATGTCCAGAGTCTTTCTGTTCCATCACTTCTCAGTCTCAGGCCTGTAAGTAATTCTTCAAATCCCTCCAATCCTTCCTCTCCTCGGCTGCTACTATGTCACTCCTAGTCAGCTACCCTGCATGTGAGCCAGGCTCCCAGTCTCAAGGCTCTAGAACAGTTACAGTGGCTAAAACCTTGGCTGAAAAGCTACAAATGGGGATGAAAGGACAGCAGCAGTGGTGGCATGAACCCACAAGTGGCTGTGACAAGGTGTAGAACACATGGGCTTGGCCCTATTTGCATACTAAGTGAAAGACACACCAGGTGAGACTATTTACTTGTATTAAAAATTCTTCATTCTGCTGGGTGTGGTGGCGCACGCCTCCTAGTCCCAGCACTCGGGAGGCAGAGGCAAGCGGATCTCTGTGAGTTCAAGGCCAGCCTGGTCTACATAGTGAGTTCAGACCAGCTGGGGCTACAGGGAGGCACTGTCTCAAAAAGACCAAAACAAAAAAAAAAAAAAGTACACTTCTATCCTAGAGACCACAACTATCTGAGCACAATCCAACTTGCCAACAGGGTGTCTTTCCTGCCTTACCTGAAGAAGAATATTGTTCCTGGGTCACCTTCTTTTGCAGAACTTTCCACACCCATTACCAAAATATTTGCTGCATCTGTGATTTAAAACATCAACAAAGATGTATCACAAGATGTTAAGAGTTGCCTGTAAATATGTTTTAAAAGTACATAGGAGTACTTGATATACCAAAATGTGCAAAGCACTATTTCCAACTTTTTTCTAAGACTTTGGAAGGGTTTTAAGATGTGAAAATGGGGGCTGGAGAGATGGTCCAGAGGTTAAGAGTGCTTGCTGCTTTTGCAGAAGACCAGAATTTGGTTCCTAAAACCCACATCAGGCAGCTAATCATTTCTTGTAATTCCAGCTCCAGGGGACCCAATGCCCTCTTCTGGACTCCCCAGGTACCTACACAAATGTGTGTATGTATACACAGAGACACATGTAAAAATAAATCTTCAATGAAAATGAACATTCTATAGCCTATAGATACCATTAGGAATCTATTTCACTCATTTTGCTCATTCATACTTATTTTGATTCAGTAACCACTAGTCTAATGAAAAAATATTAAAAATTTTAGGTTCAATACAACTACGGTTCAAGAATTAAATGTCTTTCTACAAACCAAATTTAAAATAAAATGTGAAGGATTACATCTTTTTTTTCTGTCTTTTTGAGACAGGGTCTCTCTGTAGCCCCAGCTGTCCTGGAACTATGTAGACCACGCTGGCCTTGAACTCACAGAGATCCTCCTGCTTCTGCCTCCCGAGTGCTGGGATTAAAGGCATGCGCCATCACGCCAGGCCCAGATTACATCTTTAAACATCATACTACTTACAGACTTCAGGGCTACCCACAGCTACCCCTGACCAATTTTTTATCTTAGGGGTTCTGGACATAGCTTTGTTTTTCTATATCAACTTGTTTTTGTCATCAAATAGTCTGTTCAGGTCTTCAAGAATAAAAAGGCACAATGACATTTAAACTGTCCTATGGGATCAATAAATCTTTGAGAACCTTTCTTCAAAGGGGCTGGGGAGATGGCTCAGCAGTTAAGAGCACTGGCTGCTCTTGTAGAGGACCTGGGTTCAGTTCCCAGCACCCAAATGGTAGCTAACAACTGTCAGTAACTCCAGTTCCAGGGGATCCAATGCCCATTTCTGGTCACCATGGGCAATGCACATGCATAGTGCACTTACAGACATGCATGCAGGCAAAACATTCCTACACACACACACACACACACACACACACACGCGCGCGCGCAAAATCCTTGATACTCTAAAATCCCAAGTTAATTCTCTTTCTTATATTCATTGTGGTCATCCTTAATTTTGTTAATTTCAAAGTACCGGGCTAGTATCTTAAAGCTTCTCCCAGTTTCTATCAATTTCACAGTTCTGTAACATTAAAATAGCTTTAAAAAATTATTAGTGTGTTTTGTAAAACAGCCATTTACAGTAACGGGAGCAGCAGTGTGGGGCTAGTTTGGGTGTCTGCCAAAGGCCCATGTGTTAAAGGCTTGTTCCCAGTTCATGGCACTACTGGGAGGTAGTGAAACTTTTAAGAGATGGGATCTATTGGGGAGAAGTAGGTCACTGAGAGTGTGCTTTTGAAAAGGATCCCTACCACCACGTGGTAAGGAACTTCCTATGTCACATGCCCCCATCATACCTGCTGTGTCCCAAAGACCAAAACAGTGGGTAACTGACCAGAACTGGAATCTCCAAAATGTGATCTAAAATAAGTCTTTTCTCTCTTGATTTACTGCAGGTATTTAATACAGCAACAGAAAGCTGACACACACCCTGTGATTTCAAGTAATGGTGATCCTATACACACTGACTGCCATATGTATAAGGACATCTGACACTGCCTGTAATACAACCACTCCAATGGAAAATGAGTGTGAACAAATGCGAACTTAAACGCATCATCATAGGAAAGTAATTTTCTAACACATTTTGACATACTTGGCCCCAGGTTCGAGCAGAAGTACCTCTAGGCAAGCTTGTTACTTCCACATATCCATGGGAGGCCAGCTCTTGAGAGAGAGTTCCCAGGTGATACTCATCAGCCGTTGCAAATGCTGTGCAGTGCAACAGGTCCTGTTTGGGGGACAGGACAAGACTGGTTACCAAGCACTTAAGCACTGTGAGGGCAGCTGGATTGCCCTAGGAGACTCTAGAGTCTGTCAAACATCTCAGAGACTCCTATGATGAGTGAATGAGGACAGAGAAGCTACACGGAGGCACATTTCAGTTTCCAAAGAACCTGCTTCCACCAGCCAAAAAAAAAAAGACTGGGCTACCCTGAGAGGGAAGCCACACCTTACAACAGGTAGGAGCCAAACACAGATGAGCGCACTGTATGGAAGCCTGGCTGAAAGAGACATGTAAATTTGCCAATGCTGGGGTCTGTAGCCAATGCTCTTTTCCCATCAGCATCAGCTGACATTCTGTCATCACTAGCCTGGCACAGGCAGAGAGCCCTAAAAATCCACACAGGAACTTTTTTACTTAACTTACTTACTTAATTTATTTATTTATTATTTTTGGTCTTTTTTGAGACAGGGTCTCCCTGTAGCCCCAGCTGTCCTGGAACTCACTATGTAGACCAGGCTGGCCTTGAACTCAGAGAGCCACCTGCCTCTGCCTCCCGAGTGTTGGGATTAGAGGTGTGCACCACCATGCCTGGCTCTTCACTGTATTTTTTACTGAACTTCTTTGCAGTTATTTTTACTGTGGTTTACACAATGTGCAAATCTGAGAATGATTTTGGTTTGGTTATACTTTGCCCAGTCCTGTCTGGGTGTATATGCAGGTATTCATGGTATATGTCTATATAAAATACACATATTTTTTGAAACAGCAAGTTACAATCCATTAGTATGTTCTTGTCTCAGCTTAGTTTGTTAATAAATCCCTCCCAAGTTTTGAAAATGCCAGAGAGCACCTGAGTAGCTGGAACAAGTGGATCTTTCACCTCTTATCAAAGAAGTTTCTTTTTGCAATAGATGGAGACTATTACATAGTCCCAGAACTGGTCAAAAGCAGAGAATAAGTGTCTGTGAGACCCATAACCCAAAGTGACACATCTTCAATGCAACTTCTACACACAGGATGAATGCATCTCTCAACTCTCATCAGAGAAGTTTCCTTAAGCAGCAGATGGTGATTAACACAGAACCTACAACTGGCCAAGGGACAGAGAACAAGAGGCCACAGAGTGCTTATCCCTGAATAGGACACCTATTTTAAACCTCTGCCTCCCAAGGTTGAGGGATCACTGCAGAAGAAGAGGCAGAAAGATTGAAAGAGCCAGAGGGGGTGGATGACCACAAGGAAACAGTTTTCCAGACAGCTGGTTACTTACTCATATGCACCCACAGCGGTAGTGACAGCATGTACAAGTCCCATGCAAATTTAAACCAGACAAAATCTCAGCATAGTCATGGGGAAATGGGTAAGAAATCCCAACCCAACCTAAGGAACTTTAGACAACTGATGGCTGCTGAGAAGGGGAAAGGCAGTGTCTTACAGGGATGGGGCTCCTGATGGGCCCAGTGGACGGACCCACACCAAAGGGCATTTGGGGACACAAATCAGACCCTAATAGCTGTATTATATATATGAGAGTAAATTAAATTGGGTGGGGGGCAGATGAGGACAGGGGAGGGGAATTTAAATACAATCAAACTATATTGTACGAAAATTGCAAAAATTCAATAAAAATAAAATTACTTAAAAAATAAAAATGGACTCTAAACCTTGTTTTGGTACTGTTTCATTTGCTTTTAAACTTTTAAGTTTTTCTTGAGTTCATTATGTAAGAAGGGGAAAGAAATCCACGAGGTAAGTTTAAGTTAATCTTGCTTTTTTCCCTCTTTGTCCCTGTTAACTGTATCATTACTTTGTAAGCAGTTTTCATTTTTCCATATATACCTTTTCTGGCTTTTTACAGTTTTTTTTTGGTCTTTTTGAGGCAGGGTCTCCCTGTAGCCCGAGCTGTCCTGGAACTCACTATGTAGCTGGCCTTGAACTCAGAGAGATCCACCTGCCTTTGCCTCCAGAGTGCTGAGACTAAAGGCGTGCGCCACCATGCCCGGCCTTATCCTTATTTTTTAAATACTGGTTAAATTTACATATGAAAAGCATATTTCAGGTTTTAGGATGGGAATATCTTGTTCTTAAATAGGAGTGCCAAACCAACCTAAACAGTTGTTGGATTTAGGTTCTAAATTTGACCTTCTATTTTAAAATGTAAAACAAAACAAATAAATCCACTCTATTTCAGTAAGTGTTTTGTACCTCTGGCCACAGAAGACATGTTCCAGCAGATGGGGTTAGAAATCTTGCCCTAATGGCATCACATACTCAGAAAACCATTTGTTCATGTATTATTCCTGTGCGTTATCAGTGTGTGCTGGCAAGGCTGCTCCTATTTTAATGTAATACTGGAACATAAGAAACTCCTATTTGGTCTTCATCCTTAGCTTGAGGTAGAGCTAAAGCCCATGCAGTTTCCTAGGTGATATAGGATGGGGCATCTTTTCTTGTAATATTTGGTCTCTGCCTCCTGTTCCTAGCATACACCTCCTGAATCACCTGGGACTTTCTGAGTGACATGAATGCTATTTGTGCTACTGAGGTGACTCTGGGGCTCCAGGTGGCTTCAGGTTAGGGACAGGTTGCTGGAAACACAAAATTTAATTAGAAGCCTGGAAATGTCAGCTTCACCTCTCCAGAGGTAGGAAGAGGGGCCAGAGCATGAGTTCATTCCTAACAATGCCAATTGATAAAACCTCCATGAAGCACTCAACAAGGGGGGGCGTGGGACACTTCTGGGCTGGTGATCGAATTCACAGGCCAGGACAGTGGCAAACTGCGGTCTCGGGAAGAGGTGAGGACAAGCCAGGAAGCAGCTTCCTCCATGGTTCCTGCTCCAGGTTCCTGCCTTGGGTTCCTGCCCTGACTTTGCTCAGTAATGGATGGCTACCTGAAGTGTAAGCTGAAACACTTTCCTCCCCAAGTTTTTTTTTTTGCTCAGAGTGTTTATCACAGGAACAGAGATTTTTTAAAACAGTCTCACTACGCAGCTCAAGCTATCTTTGAATGTGATCCTCTTGCCTCAGCCTCCAGAATGCTGAGGTGCTGCCACATCTTGCAAAGCATTCCTTTTCAAAGGATGTCAGCAGCATAGTAAAAGCAAACACTGCAGAAAATAAACATGCTCAGGGTCTACCCTCTAAGGTTTGAAGGAAGATATTTTAACTGTCCTGGTAGATTCAAGAAGTCTAACCAAGTTTTAAATATATTTTATTGATTTTTATTTTATGTGTTATGAGTGTTTTGCATGCATGTATTTAAATGTACCATGTGTGCAATGTCCAAGGTCAGAAGAGGGTGTCAGATCCCCTGGTATTGAAGCTCAGGATGGTTGTTAACCACCATGTGGGTGCTGGGAACTGAACCCTGGTACTCTGGAAGAACAGATAGCGTTCTTAACTGCGGAAGCATCTCTCCAGTTCCCTAACCAACATATACTCCTTTGCTTTGAGCCCCTGAAAGAGGGTCTTGCCATGCCATCCATGCAGGCCTCTAATTTCTGGGCTCACATGGTCCAGCTGCTTCAGCCTCCTCATAGCTGGATCCACTGGGCATGCACACTACCACACACTTTGAGTCTTGATGTCTGCAGATGTTAAAGCTCTCTTTTGGCTCCTTTCTGCCTTTTCCAGTTTAATACACATTTAAGTACAAGGCACAGTCCAAGGTATTATGCAAGATACAAAGTTAATAAAGGCCTTGACTTTGACCATAAACTGTTGATAGCTTAGAGGACAAATGCCAATTGCAGCTGAAAACTTTCCAGAAACCTGTTAACAGCAAGCGAAAAACTATCCCTTTGAAATGTTAAGAGGGTTAAAAAGCAAAACTCTGTTTCTTGAGCCTACCTTGCCATGTCATTTCATACCACACACACAGTAACCATAGTAACGAACACCTGTGTGTCAGCAGTTGTATCTTTTTAATTTGAGGAAGGATTTTTGGTTTGACTTTTAATTTTAATATTTTATTATTTTATGTATATACCTATATTGCCTGCATGTATGTAAGCGCACACATGTCATGCAATGGCCATGGAGGTCAGAAGAGGGCACTGGATCCCCTGAACTGGAGTTTTGGATGGTTGTTAGCCACCATGTAGGTGTTAGGAACCCAACCTGGGTCCTCTACAAGAGCAGCCAGTGCTCTTAACCACTGAGTCACCTCTCTAGTCCCTAGTCTGACTAGGTTTTTTACAGTTCTGTTACCAGACTGGATGGACTACTCGTTTTACAAGTTCTCTTAAGCCAGTAACTAATCTTTTCATAAACTACTATTTTTATTTTTATTTATTTTTAGTTTTTGGGACAGGGTCTCACTATATAGGCCTGGCTGGCCTGGAACTCACTATGCAGACCAGGCTGGCCTCAAACTCAGATATCCACCTGCCCCAGTGTTGGGACTAAAGGTATGTATCACCACTCCTGGCCTATTATAATAACAATAAAAATAATTACTATTTTGAGACAGGGTCTCATTATATAGCCCTGCCTGGTATGGAACTTGCTATGTGACCCAGGCTGGCCTTAAACTTAAAGATTCACCTGCCTCTGCCTGCAGAATGCTGGGATTAAAGGCATGCTGAAGCACCACATGCAGCTTTGGCTGGCAACTGAACCTGGGTCCTCTGGAAGAGCAGCCAGTGCTCCTTTGGATGTTAAGACTTCAGAGCTTTTGTAAAGAATTCAGAGTTGGGGGGCTGGAGAGATTGCTCAGTGGTTAACAACACTGGTTGTTCTCGCAGAAGACCCGGTTCGAATCTCAGCACCCACATGGAAGCTAACAACTGTCCGTAACTCCAGTCCCAGGGGATCTAACAGCCTCCTCTGACCTCCGCAGGCACTGCACAAGACAGGTGCACTTAGCTACATGCAGGCAATACAGGCATACACATAAAATAAAAATAATATATAAAAATTATAAAAAAGGAATTCAGAGCTGGTTGCCAGTACCTTACGATAGCAACAAGGCTACTGTGCAACACACTAGAGTAAGCAATGATGGATAAACATAAGTGCCACAACAACTTGTGGGCTTTACCTCATTCACAGACAGATCTGGAAGGTTGGTCCTGGATGGCTGCCGGGTCCTGGATGCTTTCAGCGGTCTCTTGATCTGTGGACGGTCTTGTTTTGGAACAAGTGTTTCAGTTGATATCGATGAGTACTTTCTTTTTAGTACTTTCACAAACCACTTACAACCCAGGAGATTTCGCTTGTGGGTCATTTTCCTGTGAGTCCAAAACAACTGCATGGTAGGGAGGTATGTTTTTCTGTCCTGGCAACGTACAGCATTTAATACAAACAGTTTCCTTGTATTTGGTATTACCTGGCTCATTTCCAGGATCTTCGGCTTATTCAAACTGCCTGCTGTTATATGAGGAAAGAAAGAACGTACGTTCTGATGTACTAGCGGGGCCTGGTGGCATGCTGTATTTTCAAATTCTGTAAGTGGTTTTAATGTCAGGTGAGCAAATCTCCGGCACTGATCTGCTTTTGATGATAAACTGTGTAAACCAGCCAGGGCCTGGAGAATTCTGGCTGGCATCACCACATCTCAGGCTAAAAGAAAAAGAAGTAAACATTCAGGAATTTTTTTTCTTTAAATTAAAAAAAAGTTGTTTATTTTTTATTTTATGTGTATTTATGTATTGCCTGCACATAGGTAAGTGCACCTGTGTTGTGCAATGCCCTCAGAGGTCAGAAGAGGCTGTCGGATCCCCAAGGACTGGAGTTATGGACAACTGTTAGCTGTCATGTGGGTGCTGGAATTCGAACCTGGGTCTTCTGCAAGAACAACCAGTGTTCCTAACTGCTGATCCATCTCTCCAGCCCCCAGGATTTTTTTTTAATGTTCAAAATATACATATGTTTCTCAGTAAATATATTTCTGTTAAAATGTTGTAAAATAGAAATATCTTAACCTAATTCTAATAAATTCTAAAAATGTTAAGAAAATAAATATAGGGCTGGTCTGGTGGCAGTGGGACTAACAGTGGTGACACTAAAGGTGTATAGAACTCCTGCCGCCAAATTTGACTAGCTGAATTTTTAAAAAAAAGGGCCGGGGTAGAGTTCAGGGGTAGAGTACTCCCTAGCATATGCAAAGCCCTACATCTGATCCTCAGCATTGCCAAAAACACACATGTACTCATACGCACACAGTCACCCACTCATCATTTTTCCACTTGACATTTCTGGAGGATTATAAAATTGTGGATTGTTATCCCACCAAAGACCTTGAAAGATAAAAAGTGATGGAATGTCTTCATTTACTTCCTTAGCATTTCAAATATTTAAAAACAAGCTGTACTTACACAGTCCTGTATTCAGTACTGATTCATGTTTCACAGTGAGAAAAGCACCTAGCCGAGGCCACAGAGGCATCCAAGGATCCCCGTGATCATGGCTCAGCTCTCTTGGAGAAGACAGGCACTTTCTACTGTCCACCAGCACTACATGGAGTGGACTCTATCCCTGAGCTGAGTACAAGATACTGAACCAATACAGAGAGAACTCAACCAGCTGCACACAGACTCAGTGAGGACTCCCAGAAAGATTTAAATGGCTACTTGGAGGAAGATGCTTTTCAGGCTAGAGCTGGGCATAGGAGTGCAGTCAGGCATGTCAGATAGACAGACAGACATGCACTCTTACAGCCCAAAGTAAATAGACTGTTGTGTGATGTACTCTCCTACTGATAATATAAAACAGCATGTTCTTTTATGTATGAGTGTTTTGCCTGCATGTATGTAACTGTACCCATGCATGCAATGCCCAGAGGATAGAAGGCAGCATTGGATCCCCTGGAACTGGAGTTACAGACCACTGTCAGATACCATGTGGGTGCTGGAACCCAAACCGGAGTCCTCTGGGAGAGTAGCCAGTGCTCATAACTGCTGAGCATTCTCTCCAGCCCCAATAATAACAATTAAAAAACAAAAAGCAAAAAACACGTTTAGGTATCAGAGATACAAAAAACATTAATCACTGACCTAGAATCCACAGCCCAGTCAAGAAGACAGAATACAGTGTACAAGTGCTACAGGGTCCAGACAAGGGAGCATCTGGGGTAAGGGCTGTGGCACAGATGACACTTGAACTGGTTCATGAAAGGCTAGCTACATTGTAGGCTGCAACTTCAGCAGAGGCAGAAGTGAGCTGCAGGAGACAAGGATAAAAAAGTGGTGGGAAAAGACCCACTGAGTGATCCTGCAGTTTCTATACGTGGGTGAAGCTAGAACTTTGAAATAAGAAACTTATATGGTCAGAGACTTGTTTCAGAACCATGTCTCTACTAAGGGTGTGAAGGAAGAGAAAAAAGACTAAGACATTACTTTCCAGTACCTTCTAAATTCCAAGCGTTCTGTGTTACCTCACAATAGCCCAGGGAGACATTTTCCAGGTGAGGAAATGGGTTTAGAAAGGCTCAGTGGTAAGGGTGCCTTGATGACCTGAGTTTTATCCCAGGACCCACACAGTGAAAAACAATCAACTCTTGTGGATGTGTTTTGACCTCTTCCTATTGGTAAGTACTCACCTCAATAAATAAACAAAATGAAAACAAAAATGCACCCTAAGCTTTCCCTATTTGGGGATCGTACTTTTACCACTAAATTATCTGTAAAACTTCCCTTAAGGGGGTAAATAAAAGAGCTGAAATTACTTTTACCTATTTATTCTTTCTTTTATCAGTGAAGCTTCTAGAAAGCTCAAGATTCACCCCATGTATCCTGTAACAGCCAATCAAATTCCTGATCTCGCACACGCTAGTCTCTAGATGCTGCCTATCTTTCCAGTTCCTTCCATGACCCAAGGCCAGTGATTCTTCCACCTCAACAGGACCTACAACTTTCAGTCTCATTCCACACCCAGCTCAAGTTCTACCTTCAATCTTTCCCTTTCCCTTTAATTCCCTGCATCCCTCCCTATTCCACAGCCATGTGGCAGAACCTCAATACCAATTAAACACAATTCACCTAACTCATCCCTAGGCTCTTGCAGCTTGGTGTGGCTTGGCCAACCAACCAAACAAGATCTATCCACTCTTATATAGGGGTCACTCGCTTCTTCTGCTGGGCCTTTGGTGCCGCCCAGGAACATGCCCTGCTGTCTTCTACTGTCCACTTTCTCAAACCTTCAAGGCTCCTCTTACCTTCTCATTCTCAATAATGATCTTGTTTCCTATTTTACTAACAAAATAGAAAGCAGAAGTTCCACAAGGTGCCACCATGCCCGGCCAATTAGTTTCTCTAAGAGGAAGCTTTATTCACTGTTCTGAGTTGTCTTGTTTTTTTAAAAACAAGAATTTTATGTAGTGTGGGGCACAGTGGCACATGCCTTTAATCCCGGCACTTGGGAGGCAGAGGCTGGCAGATCTCTGTGAGTTCAATGCTAGCCTGGTCTAAATAGTAAGTTCCAGGTCAACCCCACTACAGGGAGACCCTGTCTCAAAAAGACCAAAAATATATATATTTTGTTAATTTATTTTTATTTTATGTGCACGAGTGTATTGTCTGCATTCCTCAGTGTACCACATGCTTGCAATGCCTTCAGAGGCCAGAAGAGGGTGGCAGATCCTCTGGAACGAGTTCAGGACAGCTATTAACCAACATGTGGGTGCTGGGAATCAAACCTGGGTCCTCTGGAAGAAGAGCAAATGTTCTTAACTGCTGAGCCACCTCTCCAGACCCCTGATTCTTCTTGACTTCTCTGACTCACTCCACTTGAGCTTTTGCGCTTTCATCCCTGTCATTTCACCTCAATGCACCTGCTTTTACATTTAGAAATCCTCTTTTATTTCAGAAGCATTTTATCTGACATACCAAACAGCACTGGATACAGTGGAGGATCACTCCATCCCCCCTGAAGCACTGTCTTCTTTGGCTTCTAGAATATCACCACGTTGGCCCTTTTCCTCCTTCCTCACTGGCTGTACTGACTCTTTTGCGCTGGTTTCTCACCCATTCCAGAAAGTGACACAGCAGGGCTGTCTCTGGGCCACTTTTCTTTTCAGTCTCCTAGTGACTGCGGCCAATCTCATGATTTTATGTGTTCTCAGTGATGAGAAGCATTTATGCCAAAAAACACCCTACACCAAAAATGCAACATTCTCAAAACTGAGCTTCTGAACTCTTTCCACAACAGCCTTACCATACTCTTCTTCATTCAAACATCCATTACAACCTCATAACTCTTTAAGCCCCAAACCTGGAATTTGCTTTAACTTTTTTCTCCATTCCCCATACTCAATCTATTAGTAAACCCCCCTGGCCTTATTCTGACCAGGTCTTACCTCCAAAACTTCTAGCGCCTGGCCCAAGTCGCTGTTTTTTTCAGTGCTCATTATAATGGCCTTTAACTGGTTATGACTATGAACCTTTACTGTCAAGTTTGTCTGGATTTAGCATCACCATGGAAACACACTTCTGGGGATGTCTGTGAGGGACTTTGTAGATAAGAGTAAGTCAGGTGGGAAGACACAGCCTAAATTCGGATAGTACCATGCCAAGGATTGGGCTGTCATACTGCATAAAAGGAGACAGCTGGCTGGAGGACCAGTTTTCTTCACCCTGTGCCCCGAATGTGACCAGCTCCTGTCACCAGGCCTTCTATGCCACGAAGGACTAATTCTCCTCCGACTGTAAGCTGAGTGGAAATCCTCCCTTAAGCTGTTTCTGGTCAGGTATTCTGTCTTAGCAACAATAACAGCAACCTGGTCTTCCTGCTTCTGTGCTTTGCCTCCTACAGATTCTCAACATATGAACTAGAGCAATCTTCTGAGAACTCAACTAGAATCACATCTGTTCCCAGTGCTCCATCTGATGACAGCTTCACATTCACAATAAAAGACAAAGCCCTTAAAGGCCCAGAGCTCTACCTTTTCAGTCCTGCAGGACTGTGACAGCCGGGTCAGTGCTCTTTCCCCACCTTAATCTGCTACAGTATAACCCTCCTCCCAGTCTCCAGATCTTTGCACTCACCCTTCCTCCTGCCCCTCCCCCCACATCTGTAAGACTCCCTCCCTTACCTCCTGCAGATTTGTGCTCCAAGTCTTCCTCAGTCACTTCATTTAGTTCACACAAACACCCAATTCTCTTTTTTCACTTTCTATTTTCCAATGCATTCAATGTCACTTTACTAATTCATACAATAGCTCTGAGCTAGGTCCTTACCGCGTGCCTGGCACTGTGCTAGTTAACATAGGTGAAAACAGGCAAACAGCCTTCCTGAACCTTACACTGCGGGGAGAAAACAAAAAAATGTGGCAATCAGTACAATGCTGATCAAATAATGACTATTATCAGAAAATAAAAGGAGATTTTTGTCTCTCTCTCTCTAGAATGTAAGCTCCACAAAACAGATTCTGTGTCTGTGTTCTGTGGTAATACTATGTCCTAGGACATAGGCATCAACTGAATTTTTAAAATGAAGTATAAGACAGCTTCCGGGTTCTTGGCACATTTCTGCTCTTTAAGAATATTATCTACCATGCTCCCACAGACAACACTAACTGGACTCAGTGGATTACGTTCTTTTTTTTTTTTTAAAAAGACATTAAGTTTGCAGGGGGACATGATGGGGGGGTCTGGGAGGAACGGGGAGTGGATACCATCAAAATATACTGTAGACATTTATGAAATTCTTAATAAAAATATTTTAAAATTATTATCGGTTAAGAATGCGGTTATTCAGAGGGTAACTGGTGCTGATCTTTGGGAGCATGCCTTCCATTCCTAAGCGATACCATGCATCTGCCACTCTGCCTTGGCTCAAGAGGGGCCAGTCAATGCCAGTCCCTGGGTGCATCTAAGTGGAGCAAAGATCACGCTCCCTGCAAGAGACAGGGAATCCTAGCTGTCCCGCCGAAACCTGTGGCCCGCGAGGACTGAGCGGCCCAAGCGGAGGCCGCCGCGCTCCCTCCCGAGTTCCGGGCTGAAAGCACTAACCTCAGGCGGGAAGGACTCAGGCAGCGCCACGGCGCACGCTCCGCTGCAGCACCGCAGCCTACCGACCGCAGGCAGCTCCCGGGAGGACGCTCCGCCCCGACGGTGCCGCGCAGGCGCACTCAGAACTCAGGATCAGCGGCCCGGGCCGCGTGACCACCCGAGCACGTGACCGCGCCGCGCGCCCATTTCCGCTCTGCGGGCGCTGGGGCCTTCGGTCCTCGTCGGCTTCCGGTCTGCGCGCGCTTCCTCATTCCGCTCTGTCGCCGGAAGGTCGTTGCGTCCTGTGGTTTGCCCCTTGTCTGGGCCCCAAATAAAGTTTCTTGATTCAAAAGTTTTTTTTTTTTTTTTTTTTTTTAAAGCCCCAACGCTACCTCTCTGCGAGTCCAGGCGGCTGCGACCGTTGAGACGTGAGTGACACCCGCGTTGGGCGCGCGGCGCTGGCGCCATGGCGGAGCTGCCGACTTTTCTCTCCGCCCGGGACGTGGGGTTCGTCTCACTTCTTCGCGCTTCTGAGGAAGGCGGTGCTGGCGGGGGAGCTGCGAGCTCGAGTCCCGCGTTGGGCTCCGCGGGCTGGCGTGGGAGGGAGGCCGCCGCCCGGCTCGCCAGCCCAGGACCCGGGTCCGCGGTGCACGGGACAGGCAGAGGCAGGAGGGTCGTCGCCAGTGGAGGCCAGCTTGGGCCCGGTAGTGATTTCGAGGCCACCCTGGGATACACGGGAAAAGCCTGTCTCAGCCCGAATGGGGGGGAAAAGCGCTGTGGGGGGGGTCAAAAATGAGGAATCTCAGGGCTTCTGAGACGTGTTTCTGGAGCTGGTCAAATTGATAACCGCACAAATTAAAAAGTTCTTTTTTTTATTTTTAAAGAGTGCGTGTGGAGGACAGAACTTTGGAGTTGGTTCTCTTCCATCGTTAACAGGGATTCTGCCACAAGTGGCTCATTCTTTGCAGTTGCCAGGACCCCAGTCGATGCCTGAAATTCAAATTTTGTATTCTCGTTGGACAGATTTTATTCCCTATACTATACGATGAAGTTTGTTAGGCACAGTAATTAACAACTAGCAAAAAGGAGCAATTATTATAAATATATTGTGATAAAATTATTTAAAACTTATAAATTGTTGATTTCTGGAATTTTCCACTTGAATTTTTTTTTTTTTTTTTTTTTTTTTTTTTTTTTTCCATTAAAAAAAAAAAAAAAAAAAAAAAGATGTCATTCATCATCCGCCTGCCTCTGCCTCCCAAGTGCTGGGGTTACAGTCGCGTGCCACCACGCCCGGTAAAAAAGTTTTTAAGATAGTATTCCCTCCCACCACCCTCAAAGGGAACCTGTGGATCAACGGGGAATTACAGTGTTACTTTGGGGACAAAGTTGGAGATGAAAGTAATACAATATACCCATTTGCATTGATTGAATAGCCACATTCTCTTGTTTTCTATTTGAGATTGGATCCCTGAACTGTTAGCCGAGGGTGGCCTTGTACACCTGATCTTACGCCTCCACCTCTCAAATGCTGGGATTACAGACGTGGGCCACCACACCAGGCTCTACATTCATATCAAAATACTTGATTTTTCCTAATTAAATAGTTTTATGTGTGTGTTGGGGCAGGGTGCTGGTTCCTTGCACCACCATCTAGTAGTGGAAGTCAGGATAACTTGCATAGGGAATCGGCTTTCTCCTTTCATGTGGGTTCTGGTTAAACTCAGGTGGTCAAGCTTGGGGGCTTACCCTTAACGCTGAGCCATGGTTCCAGGCCTTGAAGTAGTTGGATACTTTAAAAATATTGCAGAAAGTTGCCTTGCCCAGGCATGAAGTAGATTGTAGACAGATAGGTGTTCATCTTTACCCTGATCAGGGATGTCACTTGAGGGGTACAGGACTCTGGGAGGAAAGGTGGTAGTTACAAAAGCACTGATATTCTCTACCTACTTCTCAGGGAAGTATGGCCACTTGTTGTTTCTGCTGCCTAGTGTTAGTTTATGATCCTCTATCAGTGGTTGTTAAAAATTCAGTTCTGATTCCAGGACTTACTTCAGCAACTTGAAACCTAATCATTATTTCTAACACCTCAAAGCACCACAGAGTGTAAATGTGTTTTTGCAATTTGATATTCTTTAAGGTTTTTTTTGGGGGGTGTTGAAGTAGGGTCTTACTGTAGTCCCAACTGACCTAGAACTTGTTATGTAGACCAGGCTGCCCTCTTTCTCATAGAGAGCCACCTTCCTCTGCTTCCCTAGTGCTGGGATTAAAGGTGTGCACCAGCATACCTGGCTTATTAAAAGTTTTATAGAGTGGAGTTTGTTCAAGGAAAACCTTAGAAGAAATAATGTAGAGCCTAATGATTTAAAAAGTTTAAGGGCTGGGTGTGGTGGCGCATGCCTTTGATACCAGCACTGGGGAGGCAGAGGAAGGTGGATCTCTGTGAGTTCAAGGCTAGCCTGGTCTACATAGTGAGTTCCAGGCCAGCTGGGGCTATAGGGAGACCCTGTCTCATAAAGACTAAAAAATAGTGAAAAAATAAAAAAATAAAACTCAGTATTTCAGGGGCTGAAAGATGACTGAGTCATTAAGAGTGTGTACCGCTCTCCAGAGGACCCAAGTTCCAGTCCCAGTATCAATATCCAGCAGCCCACAACTGCCTGTAACTCCAGCTCCAGGGGATCTGATGCCTTTGTCACATATCTATACACGGGCACGCATGCGTGTGTGCACACACAAAAACAAATCTAAAAAATTAATGTTTCACCTTCGAAAACTGAACAGAGGACTGGAGAGATGGCTCAGTGGTTAAGAGCAGTGGCCGCACTTACAGAGGACCCTGATTCAGTTCCTTGCACCAGCATGGTGGCCCTCAACTGTCTTGGGGACTCTCTGTCCTCTTCTGGCCTCCTTGGGCACTATATGCAGGGGTAAACTTACATGTAGGCAAAATGATCATACACATGAAAACAAAAATAAATATTTAAAAAATTAAACTGAACAGAATTTCACTTAACAAGTCTTGCTTTTTCTAGTGGAATCACATATATTCCATAAAGAAAATCTATGTAAAATGATCTGAATATTTCTGAACTCAAAACATTTTTTTTTGTTGTTGTTGTTGAACAACACTTTTTGAGACAGGGTCTCCCTTTAGCCCCAGCTGGCCTGGAACTCTGTATGTAGACCAGGCTGGCCTTGAACTCAACAGAAATCTGCCTGCCTCTGCTTCCCACATGCTGGGATTAAAGCCTGAGCCACCATGCCTGGCTAAAACTGGTATACCTTTTAATAGTTGCAAGAAAAGGAATATGAATTCAAATGAGGTGTTCCAGAAACTAAAATGTGGCATATCTTCTAGTGTTAAAGCTATTAATATATCAGGTGACTCTTTTCTAGGTCATTTGCGTATCTTACAATTAAAGACAGAATGCCACAGATCTTGACTAAGGCTATTGATACATTGCATCGACATAAAAGTGAATTTTTTGAAAAGCACGGAGAGGTAAGAACTGTTTCCAGCTTTAATTTTTTGCTAATTCTTCAACAGAATACCAGTTGAAAGTTTGAGCTTTCATGTAAAGATGAGTACATGGTGTGAATATTTATCTGCCCTTAATGTAATTTGTTAAAGCACAGTCTCCAGCTTGGAAGAGTAGTGTTCCAAAAATTTAATCTGTCAGTTCTTTAGACCTTTTGTCTTATTTTCTAACGTATAAATGACTAAGTTGTTGATTTGCTTTGAAAAGCTTTTTAAATTTCAAACTTATCTCTGTTACAGTATTTGTATCACTAATTTGAGGTCGTGAGTCTAAGAAGTTAATGGCTAATGTGCTAAATTTACAGTGAGGGCCAATATGAGTTATGATTGATTGACACATCTTGTGGTAAAATATGTGAAAGTCATTGGTAGTCAGGTTAAGACTTTAAAAAGTCATACTCTTGGAGAGATGGCTCAGAGGTTAAGCACACTGGCTGTTCTTCTGGAGGACTGGGGTTTGATTCCCAGCACCCACATGACGGTTAACAGCCATCTGTAACTCCAGTTCCAGGGGATCTGGTGCCTTTTTCTGACCTCTGTGGGGCATTGCACACATGTGGTGTACTTATGTGATAGTTTGTTTCTTCATTGCTATAACAAAACACTCTGACCAATACCAACTTGTGGAGGAAAGGGTTTATTTAGCTTACATTTCCCAGGTCACAGTTTATCACGGAGCCCAAGGTAGGAACTCAGGGCAGGAGCCTGGAGGCAGGAGCTAGAGCACAGGCTACAGAGGAACACTGTTTACTGGCTTGCTCCCCTGGCCCCTGCTCAGCCTGCCTTCTTATGCAGCACAGGTCCACCTGCCCAGGGGTGGCACCACCCACAGTGGGCTGGGGCCTTCCTCATCACTCAACAATCAAGAAGGTGCTCCATGGACATGGCCACAGGCCAGTCCAATGAAGGCAATTCCCCAAGTGAGGCTCCCTCAACCCAGGTGTGTCAAGTTGACACTAAAGCTAACCAGCACAACTTACATACATGCAGACAAAACCCTTGTACATACAATATAAAAATAATAAAATATTTTTAAAAATCATCTTTTCTATTTAATGAGTGAATGAGCAAAGATCTAAATAATCATGTTATTGGAGATAAACACCTTTAAACTTGCATGTCCGGTAATCTTTGTATTATATAATAGACTATAAAAGACCATGCATATACCTATCTTCCTTTTTTCCCTCTGACCCCTTATCTTTTTCCCCTTCCCCCCTTTCTTTTTTTCTTCCTAGGGCTTTGTGCCTGCTAGGCAAGCTCTCTAACAGCTGAGTTACACCTACTGTGCCAGTACATTTTCTTGAAAATGTTGGCAGCAAAGATTTAGAACAATGTTTAATGGTCTTTTGTTGGCCAAATAGAAATGGAGCAAGACTGCACAGAGGTCATTTGAGTGTATAGTATTGCATTTCTTTCTAAACAAGTTTTGGATCATTATTTTTTTGAGACAGAGTCTCACTATTTCACTCAGGCTAGACTTGAACTCAGATCCTCCTCTGCTGCCTGCTGGCTTAGAGGCTTGAACCCACTCCCTGTTGTTATTATTGCTGACACTGAGCTTGTCTTAGACACTGATATTTTTCTGATGAATGTTTAAGTGTGTATTATATAAACATGATTTTGTTTTGATAGATGCACACATATAATTTCAGTTTTTTCAACTAGAGTGACTGAAAATGTAGTCACTGGTCAAGTCTTGGTGTATTGCTCCTCAGTCTAAAAGTGCATAGTCATTGGGTGACCATGCTGGCTAAGAGTGGGATGGCAGAGTGTGCATCCTGGCCCTATGTCAGTGCTGGGTACAGGACAGGACCTCGTAAAGTGCTTACATAAGTAGAGTCTGCTCTTGGTCGCCTTCTTGTCTCCCCTTGCAGGCCTCTCAGGTACTTTTGGCTCTTTCTCCATTCCCTGATGAGCAATATCACTTGTCCTCAAAGGAACTATGCATCTCATTTTGGCAGTCAAAGGCCTGTTCCCTTAGACTACATGGTTTGGACTCCTTGGGAATGGGGCCTTATTATTTTCTCTGTGACCTGGAACAGTGTCTGGCACGCAGCGGACTCAAAGAGCCTTTGAACAGGAGTAAAACAAGATAAGAACTGTCATTGACACAGACATCAGTTCTTGATCCTTAGAGGTGTTTGCCTTTTTAAAAAGAAGCGGCTTAGCCACTCTGTAAACTCCCAGTAGGAATTTATCATTAACTCATCAATTGATGTTAAAGACTTGGGGTAGATACTTGCACAGGGTGAATTTCTCTTCCAGAAATGTATGGGGCTGGAATTTAAAACAAATCTAAACTACTTTCTTGCACTACTAACTTTTTTCAACTTTTGTAAATAGAAATATTTCAGCATAAAAGTCATACATATGAAGCAAGGACTGAATCATAATTGCAGGCTTTAGTTTTGATAAACTAATCCAGTGACTTGAGTATTGACTACAAAAGTTCATTGGGAAGGTAGTGTTGGGAGTTGTAATTGATGGTATTTTCTGTTTGTTTTCCCCCTTTCTTCCCCTTTCTCTTTAGGAAAAGGTAAGTTGACTTGAATAACCTTTTGCACTGAGAAAATGAACAAGTGTTTGGAATGCTTTGAAATTTTTTAAATTAAAAAAACTGGAAAATATTAAATATCTGTAACTTATAAATACCAACTTTTGATGTAATAAGAGCACCCTAATCTTATGTACGTTTAACTAGATTATATAGATTCTTATCTTTGGTAAGATATATATACTTAGTAGACCAATATCATATAAAATATGTACATATTATATAAATATGTCTCTATGCTTGCTTATGTAGGATGGATTTTTTTTTTTTAGTTCAATAGGATTTTATTTAAAAATCTGCAAAGCTGGAGGGATCTGATCTTCTATTAAAAGACAGCAATTTTCACAGTTTATACTTAGCCATTTAGCTTTGTGTTGAATAATAACAGAAAGGGAAGTTTCTGTTCAAGCGGCTCACTTCAGCATGCTGAGCCAGGTGCTGGGCATCCTGGGGCAAGGTGGCATGCTCCCTGGTAGGAGGCTTATAACCAACCCTCCACCAAGTGGAACCCAGCTCTCCTCCAGGTACACAGAACAAGGTCTTATTTTCACTGCTCTCTACACGGGGTCTCAAGAATCTCTTATTTTAAGGTTGGAAAATGTAAAAGGATTCCTTAACTCATAGGATGGATGTTTTAAGAGTCATTTGTTAGCCGGGCGTGGTGGCACACACCTTTAATCCCAGCACTTGAGAGGCAGAGGCAGGTGGAGCTTTTTGAGTTCAAGGCCAGCCTTGAACTGGACAGCCTTGAACTGGACAGCTGGGGCTACAAGGGGAGACCCTGTCTTAAAAAGACCAAAAAAAAAAAAAAAAAAAAAGTCATTGGTTAGGTTTTGTGGTGTTAGACCCTGACTGCAGAGCCTGTGCCTGAAACAAAGCTCATTCAGCTTTACTTGAGCTTTCTTCACAGAATTTTTTTTCTTTTTCTTTTTAAAATTTTAAAAATTTTATTATTTTTGTGTGTGTGAGTGTATTGCCTGCATGTATGTGAGTGCACCTATGTCATGCAATGCCTAGGAGATCAGAACAGGGCTTCGGATTCCCCAGGAACTGGAGTGAAGGACAGTTATGGCTGCCATGTCATAGCCACCATGCGGGTGCTGGGAATTGAAACCAGGTCCTCTGCAAGAGTAGTCAGTGTTCTTAACTACTGAGCCATCTCTTCAGCCCCTCATAGAATTTTTTCATGTTTCAAACTTATAAATTACAGTCTTTAATTATGTGAATAATAAACTTTAAGAAATAAAAGGTATACCGTATATCCAATTTGTGTTGGGCTTTAAACTATTTTACTCTGTGTGTATGCTGTATGAGGAAGGGCAGATGGACAGGTTTTAGTTATTTTCTCCTATTTTATGATTAGGAAATGTGTCTGCATAGAGCCAGTATCTGAAACACATGCTTTGTATGTGTTTGCTGAGTAAAGATCTGTGATGCGAACTCCTAAAATCATTACAATCCAGTAAATTCAGACTTTTCTCGGGGGGAGGGGGAGAAATTTAGTATGGGACTGGAGGCCTCTGGAGAGATGGCTCAGTGGTTAAGAGTGCTTACTGGATAGTGACAAAGGACCAGAGTTGAGATCTCAGCACCCACATAACAAGCCTGACATTCTGTAAATGCCTGTAACTCCCACCCTGAGGGATCTGGTACCCTTTTCTGACCTCTGCATATGCGTAGGTGTGTATACACACACACACACACACACACACACACACACTTGCATATACTCGCATAGACACATGCACATAAATAAAATTAATTTTTTTAAAGAAAAGAAATTTGGATGGGGCTGGAGAGATAGTACAGTGGTTAAGAACACTGGTGGTTCTTGCAGAAGACCTGGGTTCGAATCCCAGTACTCACATGGCAGCTAACAACTGTCTATAACTCCAGTCCCAGGGGATCCGACAGCCTCTTCTCACCTCTGCAGGCATTGCACAACATGGGTGCACTTACCTTCATGCAGGCAATACACATAAAATAATAAAGCCGGGTATGGTGGCGCACGCCTTTAATCCCAGCACTTGGGAGGCAGAGGCAGGCAGATCTCAGTGAGTTCAAGGCCAGCTTGGTGTACATAGTGAGTTCCAGGACAGCTGGGGTTACAGGGAGACCCTGTCTCAAAAAGACAAAAAAAAAAAAGAAAAACTTAAAAAAAAAAAAAAGAAATTTGGTATGGGAGTTGAGGGTAGAGCTTAGTGATTGGGTACTTTCTTAGTATGCCTGAAGCCCTGGGTTCAATCCCCAGCATTATACATATAAAAAAAGTTAGAACTCTTTCAGGCTCAGTCTTTGTAGATTTTACATGTTCTTCCATGACTGAACTTGTGAAGTCTCTAAAGCTTTAGCTTCTGATAGCAAAATGAAGCCAAATATTGGGGAGTGAGGTATAGCTAGTGGTAGAGTGCGTGTCTAGCATGTGTGAAGCCCTGGGCTCCGTTCTGAGCAGGGAGAGGAGAGTGAAGATAGACAAGGTGTCTGCATTGAAACATAACGGGTTTGACAGTGGAAGCTTCCTTTAACATCAGCATAGTAATAATGATTTTTATAAAACTACTCAGTTGAACTTAATGATTATTTACTATATGTATCCCAGCTGGCCTCAAACTTACTTTCCCTTTTTTTGGTTTTGTTGAGACAGGGTTGTCCTGTAGTCCCAGCTGGCCTGGAACTCACTATGGCCTCCAACTCTCAGAGATCTGTCTGAGTGCTGGAATTAAAGGTGTATGCCACCACACCTGGAAGTCTAGGGCTTAGAAAGCAAGGAAGCAGGGGCTGGAGAGATGGCCCAGTAGTTAAGAGCCCTGGCTGCTCTTGCAGAGAACCTGGGTTCGGTTCCCAGCACCCACATGATGGCTAACAACCATTCATTACTCCAGTTCCAGGGGATCCAACACCTTCTGATCTCCACAGGCATTGCACACTGTGGGTGCATTTATATGTAGGCAAAACACTCATACACATAAAAAATAAATGAATTAATTTTAAAAAAGGTCCGTTTATGGTGTGCTGAGGCAAATATGAGATCTGTGTTTTCTCAGAGTTCTAAATTGAAATGTATATAAGATGATAAAAGGCAAAATATAGTTTTGAAATATTGTATTTTTCCTTCCTAAATTTAGATCCTAAAGGCATCATGCATCACATGTGCACAACACCCACAAACACAGAAAAGTGTTTTCTTTTTGTGCTTTTCCAGGAAGGCGTGGAAGCTGAAAAGAAAGCCATTTCTCTTCTTTCCAAATTACGGAACGAATTGCAGACAGACAAACCAATTATCCTGTTGGTTGATAAATGTGTTGATACTGATATATGGAATCAGTACCTAGAGTATCAACAGAGTCTTTTAAGTGAAAGTGATGGGAAACCCCGCTGGTTCTTCTCATCATGGTTGTTTGTAGAATGCTACATGTACCGTAGAATTCATGAAGCCATCATCCAGAGGTAAGTTTGCAACCATTAGAGTGCAAGTGTTTACTTAATTTACAATTATTTTTAAAAAAAGTTTTTTTTCAGATAGAGTTTCATTGTGTAGATCAGGCTGGCCTCAAATTTATGGAGACCCACCTGCCTCTGCCTGCAAAGTGCTGGGATTAAATGCATGTGCCATCACTCCTGATGATTTACGATTACATCTGAGAAAGTAGTCATCAGGTGCCAGTAAGGTGGCTCAGATGGTGTAGCCCGAAAATTACTCATTCCTCCAAAAAGAGTGGATGATGCAGGGCACCCTGGGAAAATGTCATTTTGGGAACTCGAGTGGCCTCAGAGGAGTGGCAGGGCATCCCTTGGGGCACAGCACTGAAAGCTGATGGAGACTACGGGGGCCTTGAATGGTGTGTGGGTTATGCGAAGCTGTTTGTAAGTCACCCCCTCCCAAATATCATATAAACTATGCAAAATTCAAATAAGATGTCTTATATTGTCTGTCAGCCCTGGGACCTCAGGGTGCGAGCGAGAGTCTCCCAAGAGAAGGGAGGAAAAGAAAAAATTTGGTAAAACAGATGGTAAGGCTGCTTGTTGTCAAGAATGACTACTGGAGGTTAATCTGCAGGACCCACATGGTAGAAGGAGAGAACCAGATCCTGCAAGTTGTCCCTGATACCACACATAGTCATGGCATGCATGTTGTACACTGCAGACACAGACAGACACAGACACAGACAGACAGACGCACACAAAATATGATTTGAAAAAGAATAATGGGGTTGGAGAGATGGCTTGGTGGTTAAGAGCATTTGCTGCTCTTGCAGAGGACCCTGGTTCAGATCCCAGTACCCATATGGCAGCTTACAACCATCTGTAACTCCAGTTCTAGGGATCTGATGCCCTCTTCTGACTTCCACGGCTATTGCACAACATGGGTACACTTAATGCAGGCAATACACTCATAAAAAAATAAGGGGCTGGTGAGATGGCTTAGCTGTTAAGAGCACTGACTGCTCTTGCAGAAGACCTGGGTTCAATTCCCAACACCCATGTGGTGGCTAAGAACCGTCCTTAACTCCAGTTCCAGGGGACTCCAACACCCTCTTCTGATCTCTGCAGGCATTGCACGAGGTGCACTCACATACATGTAGGCAATACATTCATACACAAAATAAAAATAACGAATATTTAAAAAAATAATAAGGGGGCTGGAGAGATGGCTCAGAGTTTAAGAGCACTGGCTATTCTTGCAGAGGACCAGGTTCGATTCCTAGCACTCACATGGCAACTAACAGCCATCCATAAGTACAGTCCTGGGGAATCTGACCACTTCTTCTGATCTCCCTGGGTATTGCACAGCATGGGTGCACTGACGCACATGTAGGCAATACACTCATACACATAAATAAATGTGAAAAAATTTTCTTAAAGAATATTTTAGCAAATATTAACAGTACTGTTGGGCACATGATATTAACTTTAATAGATTCTTGCCAGTTATAATTCACTTGTCTATGTCAGTAGACACAGACTGATAATTTATTAAAAATTTTTAATTTTTTATTTTGTACGTGCGTATGAGTATACATATGTGGAGGTCAGAAGACAGCTTGTGGAGATCAACACTCTCCTTCTACCATCTCCAGCCCTAAAGATTCTCATAGAAAGACTTCTAGAGTAAAACAAATAGTACAAATTGAGTAAAAAATGTTAATTTGAAATAATTGCATAAAAACTTAAGATGGAACAAAGTTAGCAAATGCCTTATTTCTTTATTTTAAAATAGTTTTATTTTATGAGTGTTTTGCCTCAATGTATATAAGTGCACACATGCGTACACTGCCTGCAGAGGCTAGAAGAGGGCATTGGATCCCCTGAAACGAGTTAAGGACAGTTGTTAGCCACTATGTAGGTGCTGGGAACTGAACCTGGGTTCTCTGCAAGAGCAGCCAGTGCTTTTAAACACTAAGCCATCTGTCCATCACTAGCAAATGATTTATTTATAATAACAGTATATTAATTACTTTTTTTGTTGCTGTGACCAAAGACTTGGTAGGAAGCACTTAAAGGGAGGAGGAGTTTATTCTGGCTTATAGCACAAGAGGATAGATTCCATCTTGGTGAGGAAGGCATAGCAGCATAAGTGGACATGGACAGCTGCTCACTGCATCTGTTGTCAGGAAGCAGAGAGTGACCAGTGCTGGTACTCAGCTAGCTGTCTATTTTTTGTGCAGTAGACTGGGACTCCAGGAAATTATGCCATCCACATTTAGGGTGCATTTTCCCCACTCATTTACCCTAATCTAGTTAATCCTCATAGACATGCCCAGAGACTTATCTGCAAGGTGATACTGCATCCAGTCAAGTTGACAATCAGTATAAACCATCACCAATAGTATGTCAGAATTTATTCTGTGTAAGGAGTCATCAGAATAGGAACTCTTGTCTCAACAATCTTACTCTTTATTCTATCCAGTATTTTGTTTTTAATGGCTAGATTAGAAAAAGTCTAAATGTCATATATTCCCAAAAACCTTTTTGTTTTTATTTTTTTGTCTTTTTGAGACAGGGTCTCCTTGCTGTAGCCCTTGGAATGCGCCATGTAGGCCAGGCTGGCCTTGAACTCACAGAGATCTGCCTGCCTCTGCCTCCCAAGTGCTGGAACTAAAGGTGTGCGCCACCACGCCCAGCCCCAAATCCTTTTTATGGATTGCTTATTTAACTATTTAATTTTTCCTATGAAATTCTGATGTGCACCTGGTTTATAGAGCAAAGAAGGTGCTGTGGATTATCATTTTAGATCAGAGGTTCCGAAACACAGGTGTGATCGAAGAGGAATCCTTTGGTACCTATTCCCAAACTTAGCATAGATTTAAAGTAATTGATCAAAGCTGAGTGTGGTGGCACATGCTTGTAATCCTAGCACTTGGGAGCCTGAGGCAGGAGGAATATAAGTTTGACAGCCTGGGCAATTTTAGCAAGTTCCAGGCAGTCCTTGGCTGTGAGACCTTGTGTCCTCACTGCCACTCCTACCCCCTCCCACCCCTGCCAGAAAACAAATGAATCAAGTCACATTAACCCTAAAACAATGAGTCTGAGATTTTTCTGTGTTCTCTCTCTCTCTCTCTCCTAGCTAGCTAGTTAGGTAGTTAGTTAGTTAATTAGTTAGTTAGTTAGTTAGTGATGGTCTCACTACGTAGCTCTGGTCAGCCTGGAATTTGCTCTATAGACCAAGCTGGCCTCCAACACGCAGAGATTCTCCTGTCTCTGTCACTGAGTGCTGGGATTAAAGGCATGTGCCACCAGACCTAGCCAATCTTTATATATTTTTTAATAAAACGTTGTTTTTACTGAATAAATACTTTAGAACTTGTGTTCTAAAAGCAACACGCACTATGTCAAGCCTGCTGCACACAAAGTAGAGGGCTGTCACTCAGTGAATGTGCCACTTGCTGCGCTGCAGTAAGGTACATATGTAAGTAGTTTCCTTTTTGCAGTTGAGGAAACCCAAGGAGGTTCATCCCATTCCAGACTCCCTGTCTAGTAAGGGCTCAAGCAGGATTTGAGCCCTGTCTCTGTAAATCAGATTAGAGTCAGTATCAGACTACCCTTTCCATGTTGTAGAGTTGGATGCCTGCCAAGGATTAAGAGTAGCTTAGATTCAGATAATGGCATTTGGCAAATCTCTGTGGTATGAGTCAAAGTTGTTGAAGTATTGGAAGCCTTGGCAGATATAGAAATTAGAATGTCGAGAGTCTCCTTTTAGATAAAGGTGGATCAAAGCAGAGAATAGAAAGGTATCATGACCTTGGCTGCCTGTTTATAGCCAGTTGGGACCAGATCATCTTGTTAGAGTAAATGCTGATGGTATAAGTTACCTGAGCTGGATTCTGGGCATCAGGCTTTGTTCAGGCGTCTTAGGGAGATTGAGTTGATGACCCCTGGTCTAACATCGTGAGGAGTAAAGGCAAATTTACCTTGATTTTCAAGAAATGATACTGTATCTTGAACAGTCAGTCCACCATGGATGGAGAACTCTTCTGGAGTGATTTCTGACACAGCTATTTGAAGGTGGAGATCAGTGGTAGACTGAGCGAGGTGGAACTCACTGTTAGTCAGTGCTGTACAGCTGTGCTGAAGCAGTTGGGAAGTCTTCACTCTTGCATGGGGTATTCCTACTCTGCATCAGTGGCAACCAATACCTTACTGTTCAAGCACGTACTCATGTACCCCGTGCCTGGGTCACAGGCAAGACCATCTGTTTCTTAAGAAGCTGCTTAGCCCTCCTCCAGTCATAGCTGTCACCTTTCAGGGATAAACACCACCTGGCCTGTGTTAGTTTTTTTCTTGCCTGCTTTTAAACTATTTGTTTTTATTTCAAAAATTTTAATTTTTTTTTCTCCTAAGACAATGTTTTCACTGTATAGATCAGGCTGGCCTTGAACTCACTATGTAGCCCAAGCTGTTCTCAAATCTCAGTTCTCCTGCCTCAACCTCCCAAGTGCTGGGATTATAGGTGTGTAACACCACCCCTGGCTCTTAAGCTTTTTAAAAATGAAACAGTATGAATGTAGTTTTGTGTCAGGCATCCCTCACTGCTTGTTGTGTTGGTTAGAATCATCCATATTGCATCTAGTTGTAGCTCTCACTGCTGTACAGTGCTGTGTCTTAGGAGCATGCTGCAGTCTGTTACACCATGGGGATGCTCTCTCAGTAGCTTCTCGTGTGGGTTTTTTTTTTGTTGTTTTAATTTTTTAAAAATTATTTTGAGCCAGGTGTGGTGGTGCACAGCTTTAATCCCAGCAGTTGAGAGGCAGAGACAGGTGGACCTCTGTGAGTTCAAGGCCAGCCTGGTCTACATAGTGACTCCAGGACAGCTGGGGCTACAGAGAGACCCTGTCTCAAAAAGACCAAAAAATTTTATTTTATTTTATATGTATGAGTGTATTGCCTACATGTATGTGAGTGCACCCATGTCCTGCAATGCCGCAGAGGTCAGAAGAGGGTGTAGAGTC